CTGCACGGCATTGCAATTCCTTTATTTTCCTATTTGCTTAATTTTCTGGTGACAAAACAAGATTAACAACTCTGGTGATAGTCATTGGCGGAGTGATTGATCTGACATAAAGTTTCCTCTTATAGTTTCACCTACGCGATTTTTCCTATGTTTGGACCAAGCTTCAAAACCTCCGGAGCTCACTGGCCTGACTTGGTCTATAGATTAGTCCATTAACAGGAAGTAGAGGTCCCGATTCTACCTTGCTCTATCCTCCTGCACCTTTAGTCGGCAGGATTCGGAGATAAGGCCAAGTTCAGTGGTTGATATGGTCCAACTCTCATATCAACGCTTGCAATACAAGTTTAGACTCTCACAGGTCTGCTGTGCATCCCATGATGTGGAATATGAGATTAATAACCCCAACCAATTATTATAATCTTATAGCTTTACATATAAATGGATGGAGGCATGACTGGCTTTTAATGAAATTCATTTCGAGAAGACGCTGAATTCGCAAATTCTGCCAATAACACTAAATATTGCCTCTCTCTTTGCATAAATTTAGATCCCTGCTTAATATGACAGCTTACAAAAATGGATGCTTTTTATCAGGAAAATGAGGCAGCAGACTTAGTACCCGTTAACGAAGTCACTGAAGAGGACCACAGTTACTTTACTGATCTGGTATATGCTGCCGATGAGGATGAAAAGCTCTGGCAACCGTCGGCTGATGCTGAACCGATGCTTGGCTTTGTGGACCAGATTGGGACTCTTATTCTTCCACCTGAGGACGGATTTGATGCAGAGGATGAAGTTATAACAAATCACAAGGAGGAATCAGGCAAGTTTATTAATTATGCAAACACATTATTTGACAGAACCAGCAAATCCTGAGCCTGCAAATGATGGAGACAAACTACCCCCGAGTGATAAACCTGAAAAGAAAAAGAAGAGAAGGAAACGGTTTGCTACTCTGACTAGGAATTTATTTTTAGAATGCTGGATGCCAATTTGACCAACTGCAGATATGAAGCAGGTATGTTTTCGGTAGACCTTGAGATATTGATGGATAAATTAAGGTGCTTGATAAGAGAGAATTTGTGCCTAAGCTTTTGTTGATTAAAAAATAAAGTTTGTATGCCCCATCGCTTTAAATTGTGTTCAGTTTATTCGAATATAAATA